GCCGCGGCCTGCCCCACCTGGCTGCCGGCGCCCCCGGCGGGCGAGGGGCTCAGGTGTACTCGCAGAGGTGGCCGCAGCCGGCGGGGCAGTGGGAGCTGGTTTCCAACCACTTCATGATGTGCTGGAGGTGGCCGCCGTGGCTGCAGCCCTGGCACCAGACGAAGAGGCCCTTCACCACGTGGTGACAGACGGCGCACATGCTGGCGCACTGCCGACACCTGCGCCGGGGAGAGGGCGGTGAGCGCGAGAGCCTGCGGCGGGCGCCGAGGAGGGGACCACCGACCCCATCCTCCTGCCCCCGCGGCCCTTTTGGGGCTCTCCGGGGTGAGGGGAGCGCGGTCCCCTCCTCCCTGCCCGCTCCCTGCCTTCACCTGTCGCAGATCCAGCCCCTGTTGCTCATGGGCCGCTTGCAGTTGCTGCAGTTGACGTGGAGGGTGGTGGAGGCTTGGTTGAGGCAGTTGATGGCGCGACACGTGCTCAGCTTGATCACCTCGTTGGAGATGTTCCAGAGCTGGAAACGCTGCAGCAGGTCGATGTAGGACGTGTACCAGTGCTCCTGGGGACGGCGGCAGGCGGCTCAGCCCTGACACCCCCCAAAATCTCCCCCTGGCATCCCAGCCCCGCATCCCAGAGGCAGCTGGAGGAAGAAGTGTCCTTCCCCAAATCAAGGCCGCTTCCCCACCCTGGCCCTGGGGACGCCACCTCAGTGGCAGGGGGGGCCGCCCCCACCCGGGGGCCCCCCCCCGGGCCTGGAGGAGCAGGGAGGTTCCCAGAGCCCCGGTGGGATCCCATCGCATGGGGATCGCCCACCGAGGCGTCTGCATCTCATGGGGTGGCTGCACCAGCCCCGAAGGGAGGGTTCCAGTTCCTACGCAGCCAGGAAAGGGCTTCCCGAGGTTTTACCTGCGTCTGCTCATCGATCTCCTTGCGGATGCGGTCTCCCAGCACGATGAGAACGGACACGGCCGTCTGCACGTCGCCCTGCTCGGCGTAGAAGAGAAGCGTGTCCCGCACAATGGGATTGAAGAAGTCGGAGGGCAGGCGGTTCTCGTAGAGCGAGTGGGAGATGGAGATGAGGGAGAAGGACTCCACGGGCGTCAGTGACACCGTCTCGGCCTCGTTGCCACTGACATGAGGGGAGTCAGCCTTGTCTTGCAGGTGGTCCAAGGCCGAGGGGTTGTCCACGATTTCGTGGCGCAGGGGAAAGGCTTCTTGGGGAAGGCTGTATTCCTGCTCTTCAGCTGCGAGGAGAGAGATCTGATCAAGAACGAGTAGGGAAGGCCAGGAGAAAAATCCAGCACCAGCCGTGCACTCACCGTGCGGGTTCTCATGGTCCATCATGTACAGGTCGTCCTCATCCGCTTCCACGTCTCCCAGCAGGTAATCCGCAGGGACATCACTGCCTTCCGTCTCCTCATTGTCTGCGTGCCCAGGGAGAGAGAAATCAGCTCACTCCCCTCGGGCACATGGTTGGATCCGCATCCCCCGCCTTCTGCCACAGCATGCCAGGCTGAGTCTGAGCCAGCTCGGCTCAGCTCCCCACCGCAGTCGCGTTCCTGGCACCTGTGGCCACTGCCGTGGGGGCCACGGGGGTAAATTGTCCTTCTGCAGGGCCCTGGGGCTCAGCAGGCTGCAGCAGGCCCAATCACCCCAATTTACAGGATAAATTTACCAGTTTATCCCGTATCAGGGCCATCTACAGCTAAGGAGGGAAGAGCTATAGGAAACATTACCCTCGTTGTTGATCAGGGTGGAGGAGGAATCCATGAGGATGTTTTCTGTGCGGCTTTCTCCTTTGCTGCGGTCCAGTCTCGACTCGTTGCCCAGCCCGGAGGGGATGTCCTTCAGGTTAAAGCTAGGAAAAGAAGCCAAATTTAATAGTCACAGAAGCTTACAGCTTCCATTCTAGCCAGCAAACAGCCTGGATATAGGTCTCCAGCTGCGATTCGAACGGTGAAACACAAGATGTGGCGATTTCCCTGAGAGCGCAGAAGTCAGCTGGTCCCCACTTTGTAACTTAAAAATAAAGAGTTGTTAACACAGCCCTTTCTCCAAGCCTGGCGTCTCCGCGCACGCGCCGCAAAGGTCTCCCTAAAGGATTTCAGAGCTGGGCGCAGGCTCTTGACTCCATCTCTTATATTTACCTTCACCTCAGAGGTGGGTAAACAGGAGCTGCCTTGCTACAAGGTGCTTTGCTGTTTGTTATGCATCACCGCTCTCAGGCTTCACCGAGACGGAAAAGGAAGGGAATGGGATTGAAGCAGAGCAGAGCTCTTTCTTCAGCTTGCTGCCTGCGGTGTTTAAGTTGGCGACAGACAGCGACCCGTCTGGAGGCAGAGCTTGGTCGAGGAGAGCGTTTCCTTTGATGTTATTCGAGGATTTGCCACTCGCTCTGGGAACCCGGCCCTGCAAGGTCTGACAGCTAATTTGGAGTCCTCACCCCTCACTTTTATATGTTATGGAGAAGAGGAAAAACAAGTCTTCCTGCTTCATCAGCCTGCGACGGGGCTCTCCATGCCAGCGAGCCGCTCGCAGAGCTGGGCTGTCCTCTCCACACCAGCAGCTCTGGCTCCAGCAGCAAGACAGGGCTTCTCCATCCCCAGCCCTCGGTCACAGTCGCTAATTAAATAACCGCAAAGATGGCACCAGCCCCATGCCCCACCACAGCTTCAAACTTGGTTTCAAGGAGGGAAGGGAGCAGCGTACAAGGCTGCACGGCTCAAGGCCGGGCTGGCCGCTCGCTTCTCACCCCCACAGGGAAAATGGCTGCATTCAAACGATGCCAACCTACGAACCAGCACGGCCTGAGGCTGGGGGACAGCCGTCCCTGCTCCCACCCCGCGACTCCAGCCCAGCCCAGGAGCCGTCTCCGCTCTCCTGCTCACGGAGCCGCCCCAGCCGTCGCGGTGTTCACTGCGGCTCCGGCGCCCCTTACCTGTTCATGAGCGGGAGGGCGGCGCTGCCTTTCCCCATACTGTGGTTGAGGTTGGCGGACGAGACGGTGCCGAGGCTGGAATAGATAATTCGCAGCATCGTCCACGTTTGAGCCACCTGCGTGAGAGTGCGCCGCGGTCAGACATCGCCAGGCTAAAAACCAGGCCCTGCGCAGCCACGCGCCTGACGGCAAACTCCCGTCACCGGCCGATCGGGAGAGCTGGGCAGGGTCTCAGGGGGGCCAGGCAGAGGTACACCTTCTGGGGACAGCCAGGGGCCACAGCCGGACAGAGAGCTGCCATCCAGCTCGGGGGGGCGGGCCTCATCCTGACAGCACCTTTCAACCTCAGCGCCAGCCTAGGTGCGCTTTGAGAATCTCTCACCTGGTTGCGGTCCAAGCCCTTGGCCACCTTGGCGTTGTGGTCGCAGAGCTCGGCCAGGGGCCTGCCGGCCAGCGCGTACTGCTTGGCGGTGTGCACGAACCAGTCCATGCTGCCGCTCTCCACGTCCGTCTCGAAGACGCTGAGGGTGCTGGAGGAGGAGATGTACTCAAACTGCTCTGTGGGGTCCAGCTTGCGCTTGAAAAAGATGGGGTGACGCCGGTCCCCGATGTAGGGCTTGCGGTTGGAGTCGGAGGAGATGAGGCTCTCCTTGGCGGCGAAGGCAAGGTCTCCGTAGAGGCTGTAGCACAGCCCCTCGGGGTTGGCCCGGTCGATGGGCTGGCT